GCGCTTGAGGAGGCATGCCAAAATTGTAGGTTTGCGCTTAGGCCCGAATTTTTTTTTCTCCAGGCCTCGGTCCGCGTCAAAGCCCCATGGACATTCACAAGCTCGGGATTCCTGAGGCCCCAGGCCCCTTTGACATGTATTCGCGCTCGCCCCTCATGTCCCCATGCATTTGTCCGGATAAAATCCTGGGGATGACCCCCCCATGTGTCCAAACCCCCCCATGTCTGTCCAACAATTATCCTGCAAGAATCCTCAATCTTCAAACCCTAAACCGCTCTGACATCATCCGCCGAAACCCTTGAATCCTACACAAGTGGGAAGCCTCTAAAGTGAGCAAAGCCTCTGAAAACTAAACATCTTACAGCCCCGAAAACCTTAAACCTTAAGCACCCAACACCCTGACTACCCCAAACCTTGCCTTATGGCTCAGAGCCTAAGATCCTAAGCCTCAAGAAACGTGCACCAAAAAACGATAGAACCTAACAACAGTCCTGGCTGCCGTGTTTTGCTACCGTGCTGTTGTATTTTTAAGGTTTGTATGGTTTCAGGCTAAGGTTTAACACGGTTGCAATTTGCATTCACGGAGGCTTATCAACAGTCGGTAACTTTGGAACTCAGTTGGCTCAAATGCGCCTGGGGGGGGGGGGGGGGGGGGGNNNGGTTAGGCCCTATGATTTTCTTTCAGCTTCGCTTGCCATGAAGTTATCAGGCGGCAGGACACCACAGTGTCAAGCACGGCTTACCGTCGCAAATTTGTCACATTTTGAAACGGCCCACACTTGACGCATGGCAACACCGCATGCTTTGTCTACATAGCTGCGCTGGATAACAAGGCTCTAGTCGCCCAACCTCCTCTTGTAGCGGTAAAAGGAGACGTGGGCAATTTGCTTGCAAGACATTTTGCTATCTTTGACCTATGATGTGCTCAGATTTCCTTTGCTACAATATGAGATGCCATACAGACGTAACCATGGTCAGCAAAGCACGAGGTCAGACCCGGATCCTGACAAAAGCGGCTTTGCGTGGTCCCAGGGTGCTGCATGGACAACGAGTGGTGACAGGATGGAACAGGGGCAACTCAGGATTTTGTAGCTCGTGTGACTTTGCTCTGAGATGACCTGTGTTAGGGAGGGACAGCTTTCCAGACTCTGCTTTTAAGCACCGGAGCTGGCAATCACTGTTGAACCAGGTTATTTCGCCGCGGGGTGCTGGCTATGTATTTGGCCAGGATGTGGCGCAGAAGTCTGGCACCCCAGCCTGACTGCGAAGACACGCTGGAACGCGTTGGTGGGCATTATTGACGACTCGTTGGTCAAGCATGTCATGAAACGGGGCCTGATCACCTTGCAAATCGGCGAAGTGAGACTTCAAGTATCTGCAAAATCAGTTCAGAGCATCCAGGAATGGTTAAACGGTGAAACTCTTAGAATCGACATCCGGGGCAGGACAGTCTCGGGCTACTTGTGCTATTATGGTCATACATGCAAGCTGAGCTGTAGACATGTGGCTAGTAGTCTACCTGCTCACAGGCTCACAACGACGCATATGTGTAGCAACAAAAATCGCAGCAGGTGAAGTTTTGGAGCATGAGGTTAGAACTTGGGGATGCCTGCCGGAAAGCAGGGGAGCGTGAAACAGCGTGAAAGAGTTCCTCCTGATTCCTGATGGCTCTTTGCTGAAACGTTCTCATCTTTCACAGGTTTCTGCATGTGAACCAGCTCAGCCACATCGTGCGAGCTCACCAGCTTTGCATGGCAGGCTACCAGGCCACACAAAGGAGTGTGTGAAGTGTGTGGGTTGTGCGCAGTTGTGTGGAAATACCTGGGCATGTGATAGCATGCGTGCCAGACACTCTATAAGGGGCTGCCATCAAGCTTCTGGTTTCTCACCGGAGGTGCTATTCGATGACACGCTGTCCACAGTCTGGAGCGCTCCAAACTACTGCACCTCTGCCTGAACAAATCTGAGCTAACTGAGTTTTTCTGCACAGTAGGTGCCGCTAAAGCCAAGGCTATCGGTTCGGGAACACGGCTTCCATCCTGGAAGTCTCCGAGGCCGCAGCTTTAGGAATCCTAGCAGCTTCCCGAAACCGTGCGGGAGCTCACCCCAATGACACTGTGAGATTGACTCTGTACTAGCGCTGCACGGGCAGTTCCAGTTGGAAGAGAGTTGTTTGTGCCAATCAGGAAGGGAGCCGATTCTTCAACGTATTCGGCCCTGCCCCTGAGAGCGAGCGCCAGGGGCAAAGCTTCAAACGGCTTCAGCCACAAGAGTCACAAGAGTAATCCAGCTGCATGCCTCCCTCAATTCTCAATTCTCAACTCAATTCCCGAATTGGAATCGAGCTAGCAGACCTCTGGCAAGAGTGATCGCAGCAAGATCTTGTCACGACAAAGGACAGCGGCCAGGAGCTGAGGGCCCTGCGAGCCCTGCAGCGCCGGCAGCACCTGCAGCTCCACCTCGGCGAGGCGCAGAGCCGCCTCAAAGAGATGTGTGGCATCCAAAGAGTTGACTACATATGGTCAGGTGCAATGCCTCCAATGAAGTCCAATGTTCCCTGTTCTGCAGGCGTGGGGTGGGAGGGGGGGTTTTGGGAGAAGACTTCTTAGTGGCTTAGCGCACTGGGACCCACTTGGCGAGCCGGACGACAGTAAGCAGCCTAAGTTCTGAGCTGTGCGCTCGTAGCGTGAAACTGCTTGAGCTTGGAAGTTCGTTGCACACTGGTTGGCCTTGTCGCAGGGAGAGAGGATCGCTACTTCACCTGAGGCACATTTGCTCCTGATTCACCTTTCAAGGGCCACGGGAAGTCACTACTGATGCTGTTTGAACCTACTAGTACCGGGATTACGTCGTTCCGTGTTGTGTGACGTCGTGCCGCAGGTGCGTGTGCACGGAGACTTTCAGCTGTGACCACCGTGCATAAATATCTTGATTGTAACTTGCAAGCACGTGTGCCTGGGGGTTCTCAGTCACGGCTATGGCGTAACAAATATCTTCAGTACCGTTTTGTGACCTGCTAGCGAATTTACTTGGGTATTCTCACCATATGTTTATACGCAGGAAAGTCTGACAGTAACAAGTCAGATGAACATAGTGGAGAGGGACGGGAGGAGATTCCCACAGCTTCGTAAGCGATATGCCAGTATTGCAATGGGGATGAGCCTTGATCTTCATCGTGGGCTGCGGTGGGGCTGTTTTATTTGTGAACCATTGACAGTCGCAAGGAGCACCTGGTTTTGGGTTTTGTGGCCAAACTGGAGAGAAGCACCGAAAGTCTTCTTTGGGATCGTTCTGTAGGTTGTTACAGCAGACCTGAGCAGTGAACACGTTGTTAAGGATTGCAGTGGGGAGGGGGGCTCAGGCTCAGCACCTGAACGGATGGCAATCTTTAACTGCCGTATCGCATTCCTTTGTCGAACTTGGGAGACGCGAAGTTTACCTTGGCTTCGTGCAAAGCCACGCAGCTGCTTGCAAACGAAACATGCAGCTGCAGAAACAGCAGAAGAAGAAGGACAGAAAGAACGAAAGAAAGCAGATAAAGCAGGAAAAAAAGGATGGGGGGAGGAGTGAAGGAGAGGCAGAGATAAGCATCAAGCCTCAGCAGGCCGCGTGCTCTTGGTGGATCTGCGAGCTCTGAGTGGAGAAATGAATTTGGGCTATCTTGCCTGCACTCTCACAAAGGCATGCTGCCATCCTGGACAATTCGTGACTATCCTTGTAGGGGACAGGCTCAGGAGTTGCACTTGTGCATGGCTACACTCAGTCCCAGTAGCAGAACGCTGCAACTGCTACAAGCAGAGCATCCGTGCTCATTTGCTTTCAACAGATTTCCGTCGGATTTCATGGTTCTTCTTCATGAAGATGACTTGCCACACGCCCAGCCATGGAGCGCACGATCCGCCATCCAACAATCGTGGTGGAGGTCTGTCACAGTGAAAGACCTGCAAGTTCCTGCATCTCCGTGTAGCAACCAATTCAACCTTTGGGATTGTAAAGTGCAAGTGAAGGCAGGATAGGTGCATGGCACCTTTCGGAAGCAAATACTCTGCAAGCGAGGCCCAGTTGAGTTTGCAGAAAGGTAGTGCTGCAGCTTGGAGTCGGACTCCAGGCCTGGAAGATATTCATGGGAATCAGTTGCCATGCGCAGACGGACCTGGACGAGTCCTTCGGCCGGCGTCGCTCGCGACGAACTTCTGGCCTGAGCATAGACACGCCACACGAAGGCCACAAATTTCTGAACAGTTCCATGCTGAAGCTTCATGCGCCGCCTGCTGTATTGCTTTCGCCCATAATTTTTCATTATCACGTGACATGTCTGTGAGAACACGCGGGGACCGCATGCTAGTGGCAGGACCTAGCTGTGGTCATGTGATTTAGCCGCTAGGCCCGTTCGAAATTGGCAACCTGGAAGTGGCTCGCAGCCGTGTCTGCAAGCAGGTCTGTCCAATGACTGCAAAGCAAAGCTCGTGGCAGTTTGCCATCGTTTGCACTTGTGCCTGACTGAGGGAAGCTCTTGGCTCAAATCTGCCAAGACTTGCATTTGGGTACCCAGGCAGCACAGAAGAAGGTCAAGGGCGGTGTGGTAGAGAGGCAAACGAGAAATGGCAGGGAGTTGCTTCGTGAACACCAGCACGATTGGCAGTCAATGGCTGCGCATGATATCCTATCGTAGCCTGGACAATCCTTAGAAATGCCTGATATGAGCCAGCTGGACAGAACCCAAGTGCAGTCATTAGCTGCAACAAGCCAGACCTCACCTGCACCAGTAAGATTTGAGGCGCAAGCGTGCCCGACATCCCAGAAGCTTCCCTCCCGACATCGACGGAGAGTTTCGGCATGGCGCCCAGTTTCATTGGTTTTGTCGCCAAAGCCTCATCCCGAAGGGGTAGACGGCCAGCTTCTACTTGTAATCCTCATGCAATGTTGAGCCCAGAGATCGTGGGATCCCAGATTGTTCCAAGCATTTCCAAGCCAACTAGATACAGATGGACAAGCGCGAGCCCGAACTGACCCTTCGTGGTTCTAGGTGTGGAGTCTCAAGCTTCAGGCAAGAAGGAGGCGCTGCAAAATTAAAGAGAAGCTAGAAGCACATTGGGTGGTGTGGAGCGTTTGGAGCAGTGAATAGCCTCCTGAACAGACTAGCTATGATGGTTTCTGTCACCTGAATCCCCTCAGAGATCCTCAGAGCAGCCAGGTGTTTGTAGTGTCAACAGATACGTGGACCTAGTCAGACACAGCATAGGGCGCGCTCCTTGTGAGAGCTTCTAGCATAACGATCATGCCGTAACACTTGGCGCAGTAGCTTGCACAAGCTGCGGAAGCCTGCAGAGCGAAAGCGCAATGCAGGGCTATGCTGCCTTGGGTTCTGCTGAGCTCTTTGAGGCCGGTCCGCAGTAAAATCAGCAGCCCAAATTATTCCATGGGTGCCTGCAGGCAGACCTACGTATCGAATCCCTGCAAGCTCCATGGTAAACAGCCTGAGGTATGGTCTCCGTTCCCAGCATCTCAGCGTGACACGGTGAGAACATGTGAGACAGGAATGCCATGACTGTCAAGCACATGAATTCCGAAGTCGTCCTGTCAGGTGCAGCGCATTCTCGCTGCACGGGCACCCGGCGGCGACTGGTCCAAAGAAGCGGTGATAATTTGGACACTAGACTCATGCTGGTCACTACTTACACGAGCGGCATGCCAGACACCGAACAGTCAGGTCAAGCGCCAACCAAGGCTACACGGAGCAACAGGCTAACCGCCTGGCTCAGCACGTCAAGACGATGCATTTTTTCAGACGGTGGCGGGCCTGAACGGCTGAGGGGTTGAGATGCAGTACCGGCCCTGGGCCTGACGACTCTTCAAGACAAACTGACCTCGGTCCAGGCTCAGTTGTGTGACGGTGTGGAGTGTGGAAATCAGGCGCAGGTCGCTCACAGATAACTTGTTAATTTCAAGCAGGAGCAATCATGACAATCTCATGCGCTGCAGCAAATACATTTCCATTTGTGCAGATGGTGCCGCTGATTTGTTTGGTAGTGATGCCTGCTCGTTTGTGTAGCAACACGGGTATCAGAAGCACACTGCTTAGGCTCGCGACCCCTGCTCTCCTCCAGCTGCTGATGCACGCAGACTTTTTGGACGTGGAACTTGGCGCAGCTTGGCCAAGGTCGAAGCTTTGTCTGTGACAAAGCGGCGTTTCTCAGCAATCTGAACACGGAGGGAGGAATCTCATAGACTGGTTCTACTCTGCGTTGTATACACCTGTTGCTCACATGATGATTCCCTGGTTCTTTCGCGCTTTGGCTATTCGGAAGAAATGATAATCTGCAAGCGACCTCAGGAGATGATTTACAAGGACGGCGACAAAACAGGCCATGTGCATCCTGGCCAGATTTGATGTGCGTTATGTTTGTGCATGAGTGTGACCATATTTGCAACTCATGGCAAATGATGGAATACAAGTGAGATTCACCTTCTTGAATCGGAAGGACAGTAAACAAGTTCTGCCCAATCTTAACTCCACAATTTTGGTTGCTTTCCAACTGCAGGTGGATGCCTTCAGGGTTATAGGCTTTTGTGCTCAAGACATGCAGCCGTGAGCAAATGTCAGACACCTCAGGTACGTGGTGCTCAATGGCTCTGTAACCATTGAGCGTGCACTAGAGGGTGCAGGCTCGGAAGAGAGCATGCGGAGCTGTCTGAGTTGATTTGGGCCGAGCACTTGAATTTGGTCATTCGGCTATAGCTGTCCTTCAGGACTTCAGCATGAGACGTGCTTAAGAATGGTCTGATAGCATGGCAGCATGACATCTGAAGACTGTCTGCTAATGTTTTTTCTGCTTAGAATTTTTCATGGCGCAGCCCATTAAAGCAACTTAGAACGACCTCATGCTGGAACGAATACCTGATACGTTGCAAACGTAGCCACCTCGTTGCATCACGTTGGACCCCTGAGATGGTGTCCGTGTCTTCGCCAGCAGCGTCTTTGACGGCCGTGCGTTTGGAGATGGTTGGGATGGGGGCCAAAACCGGCTTCGTGGCTGCAAAGTTGGGCGACACCGCTCGCATGAGGTTGCAGATGACTGATTTCATGAAGAGGGCTCTCCTTTCTCAATGTGTTATTCTGGTTTGACAAAACTATAGCAAAGAGGCATCTCAGAATTCAAGTTCCCGGGGAGACAATGTGAGGACCCGCTGGGGCTGCGACCTTACGCCAGCAAGAACCCAGCTGAACACACACGCAACCCCATAGCCCCACATCGAGAGCCCATCAGTCGCGAAACTGCGCGCTTGCATCGCCTTGAAGCAACTAAGTCCTGTCGCTGTGCACATTGCTTTCCCAATTTTAGGTCCCTTTAGGAGCCAGTGTGCCATAAGAAGTGCGGCTTTGCACCTTATCAGCAGTGCTCCCATGCCCTTGCAGCGGAGCACCGCCAGTTTGTATGCTCGCTCGCGACAGCATTTTGCTTCCGTCCTGTCTAACGTCAGGTACACCGCTGTTAGGCTTGATGGACACATGGTCGTGTCATTGCTAACATGTTGCTAACATTTGCTAACCGACCGTTTTTTCGCCAAAAGGGGCTTGAGCGGAGGACCGAGGCTCAGAAGTAGAAACGTGTCACTTCAGGGAGAGTGAAAGAGCGTGCTACATCGAAGCGCTTGCAGCCGACAAGGCCTCTAACTCCAAGCACGACGTCAGAATTGAACCGTAGTGGCTAGATACCTTCAGCAAGGCATGAGTCTGAACAATGGCAGGGTCACTTTCACCTCTCAGGCCCTGACCACTCTTTTGAAGAAGCCAACCTCGTAACGATTTAGTGCCGCCAGAGATTGAAAACCCTTTGCACCGTGGGCAGATCATTCAGCACCGTTTGCGGGCTATGACAGTGCTACTGACGTCCGTTCTTCCAGAACTTCAAAGTTCGGGCAGCGGAACATGGTCACGAGTCACAAGATGCGATAAACAGTCAATAGATGCCCTACAGTCTTTAGAAGGGCTTACAACATCCACAAAACACACCTGGGTTACCTGCAGTGGCGCAGCTGCTTTGCTCATGCCCGGCACCTTTTGGTCTTTCCAATTGAACGGTCTCAGGAACAAATGCGAATTATCACAAATACAGCTAACCCCCTCTGTTGTATTCTGTTGTCTGACCATGTTGCCCTCAAGGCTACAGCGACTTTTTGTTAGCTTTTTCATTGTAAGCTATATGCTGGCCAATCGCTCTGTTCTGTCAGTTAGTTAGAGCATAATGACAGCCGAATTCATTTGGGCATCGCCGGAAAACCCCATGTAAAGGTTTGATTCCCCAATAGCCACCAGGTTTGGGGTCTACTTCTTACACGGTTGGTGTTCGTGCTTGCGTCCATTTTCGGAGAATGTACGGTTCGGTGTCCCAGTCTTTTTTCCTCTTGGTGTCCCGGT